AGCTGACTGTGGTTTGAACACTCAAATCCAATGAGTAAGTTGAAATCATCACACTCGAATACATTGTTTACATAAATATATTACATATGCTTCGTGTGACAATTGTTGCTATACCATATACTCACATACGCCCTTTTGTTTTTATTCACTTCATTGTTTTGGTAGGCTTCCGAGGCCTATAGGAAAAACAAAGCATTCATTAGCAAAACGTATCACCACTGCAAATTATACATTGTTTATGCGTGGAATTAATTTCCAAATAGTCCATATAACCCAACACGACACATTCGATGTTCAACGATGTTCTTACCTGGGCAGTTGAGCTGGCAGTGGTAGTTCCGTATTCTCCATAAGTGGATTCATAGTCATCCTCTGGAATTAATAATTCAAATAGAGTGTTTTAAAAATATGCACATATTGCAATATACATCCTATTGTCTGGTAATAAAGGCCTAGACATATGACATACTATACACATGAGTAAATAGAGGTGACATTCCTGATCTCACGGATATTGACGAGAAACTGCATTACACCAATGGACATGAAAACTCCTATAAAGTATATAGATATATACAAGGATGTATAACATGAATGTTTGCAATGTGTGATATGATGAACATCTCATGTGGATGGAAGAAGTGACGCAAATTAAAAATAACCGCCAAATTATACGAAAACCAACATTCTAAAATTCTAATGGTAATTTAGTGAATCTATAAAAGTGTTCATCTAATAATGTTGTTGAATCTTTCCAATCACTCACTAGCTTTTATGATGTTTTTGTAGAACTACATTCGACTGACACACAAGGAATGGAATCGCTTTCAACGTCCACAGATCGCGAGAGTTCGCTCCTATATATTATATAAAATTTCGTACAATAGAGAAACCTCAGTTTATTTGACATTATAATAGCGTGTGTTTCAATTGACGTAGCGAAGCATTAATGTGGTTATTATTTAAACAAAAACAAAATTAGGGACAGACATATTTATGACTTTGCTCGGGCAATTACCTTTTTTAGGATTCAAAACTAATCACCAAAAATTACAGCAAACTAACGGGTTTTTTAATATTGTCTGCACATGTCTTCATTTGTTCCATTCCGTGCGATTTCCTGCGTTCTATGATAACGTTAGTTAAATTTTTAGTGAGATCACTAAATCTGGACAAACGCTATACAGCAATCAGAAAAAATATTTAAGTTGCGCGAGTACAGCGGAAATTTCGAAAATAGACAGTGTACAATACTGGTAGCTGATTGGCTTTGTGGCACATGATATAAGACCGGACGAATTATTGTAGCCAATTACCTTGTCTCAATTAGATTTGAATGAAACGTTCGGTAAGTTTGTCACAAACTACTTATAAAATATGGAAACGGCACTTCTGGAAGCATGTAAATAAATGTTACAAACAATACATACTTGCAACAATGCTGATTCCATTCAATTGCGAAGCATCAAGTAATACTTGTGAATTAATTAGTCTGGTATTTCCTCTTGCAGCAAGATCGGCGTATTGCTGCAACATTCCGAATGTCTTATTCATAAGGTGTTCCATGATGTCATCGGCTTCGCGATCGCCAGGCGGCGTAACCTGCAAGTACGTGGAAATATATAAACAAGTATTTCAGCACATAAACACCAATGACAATTTGTTAAAACAGTTGTTGACTTGAAGAAATCACTCTAAATGAATGTCCTTCTCACCCGAATTTCTCCTACGACCACTTCAGTGTAGGCACTGTTTTCGTCAAATATTTTCACTCTCAGTTCTTGAAAATAACCATTATTAATTGGTCCAAGAGGTGGATATAGGACTGGATTGCTATCCATGCCGAATGATATCTGCTTGTGAACTGTGTCATTGGCGAACATGCCTTCATGAATATAAATAACAAATGTTCAGTTTATGTGACATATTTAAATGCATATATGTAAATTTTGTAATCGATTATATACGTAATGATGTGCTTAGGGTAAATGTACACATAATCATTTCATTGACGTTTGCATTGACGTTGTACTATCTGAACTTACATTTTATTGATATCAAATCAATCATTGGCACTCTAGATTGAATACTTAAGAATCATAGATAATGCTCAAAATAATACTATCCGAACTAAAAAGTAGTATCCGATATTTCGCTTACTGAAAAACTGGTAACTTGCGATCCGGTCGTCGTCAACCCAGTTTGCACAGTCAACTATGAAAGAGTCACCTACGACACCACTAGTGCTGCCGACGACCATGCAGGTTCCGCCACTTGGTGGTAAATTCACGTAAACGGTCATGTAGGAATGTCCGGAGATACCACTGGAAGTTATTCCAGTTAATGTTACACTGAATCGCGTCCAGTCTGAGTGAACAGTGAAAAAATCACTTGCAATATTCAGTGATGATGTTTCTATACCTACGGAAAAGCAAAAAGTTTGCTCTATTAGTTATTTCCATTGATCGTGGTTACAATACACTGCAATGCCTACCTACAATACGTGCCACACGTATTGCTATGCCAACATAAGCACACATGAATTGTGAAATTATTATAGAAAAATAAATGACGATAATGATTTAGAAATTAAAAGATTATGTCACTGATTACTATCACTGTGTGTCACTGATTACTACCACTGCGTGTCACTGATTACTACCACTGCGTGTCACTGATTACTACCACTGCGTGTCACTGATTACTACCACTGAGTGTCACTGATTACTATCACTGCGTGTCACTGATTACTACCACTGCGTGTCACTGATTACTACCACTGCGTGTCACTGATTACAACCACTGCG